AAAAAAAAAAGGAAACATGAAAAGGTCAGGAATTTTACCTCAGGTGTGCAAGTAGTTTGCAGCCATCATCAATTCCAAAGTGATCTCAGGTTCAATATGAAATTCTGTTTCCTTGCCACTGCAGAAAATAAAATATTTCCATATTAGGCCAACCAAACAAAATCTACGGCATAAAAGAAGGGGAAGGAGTTACTTCATAAGATCAAAAGGATAGGAAATCCGAAATACCAACACCCAATAGCTCATGTCTGGGGCTCCTAGATATGTGATCCACAACAAAAAATGGTAAATATTAAAACCTTTTTAACTCTTGTAGCAGCTAGCTCACTAACTCATATAGATACTGCATCAGAACAGAAAACAAGCAAGATACTTCGAAAAACAATGTGTTACTTGAGCATGAAGCAGCATGACTGTGAAAATCTCTATCTTACAAAAAATTATCATACCATATGGACCAAACAAATGCTTATCCCCAACCTCGTAAATGACGCAAAAATTCGATTCAACGAAGCAGTATCTTAGACTAAATTTTGACATGGGAACCGTCTTTATAAAAATTCAACTCTCTCCTCAAAGCTACAAGGAAGACTAATCTTAAATACTAAAGATTTACTGATTTAGAGCTGGTAGTTGTACCACAATAAATTGTAACACCAGAAAGTCCAAAAAATTGCATCCTTCAGTAAGAGCATCATAACAAGAAGGTGAAGAGGTAGCAAGTTTCAAATTCGCATTGTTCTTTGGTTGTAACTGCAGCACTGCTCATTCATTTCGAGCCTAGTTGCTGAAAATGAAGAAGTAACACAGGAAAATCTGGATTTTGCATTGTTCGTATGGTAGTACGCTGCAACCCTATTCATTCATTGTAGACTGCAGCCCTACTCATTCATTCCTTTGAGCCTTCTTGCTAAAACTGAAGAAGTAGAAGTGGTAGAAAGTCTGACAAGGAGTTTGCGTTGTTCTTTTGGTACTAGACTACAGCCCATTCATTCATTTGTTGAGCCTACTTACTAAAATATGAGTCTCCCATTTCCACGATAACTAACATCTAGATATGGCTTATGGCCTCATTTCATCAATAATGAAATTCAAGACTACACTTCAGCCACTTAGTATTTCCAACCTTAACGGCGTAAAGCTGAACCCGGGAAAACTTAGGACAGCCATTAAGGACCAAAAAAACTAAAATCTAGTTTAGCATGCGACGAAACCTTGTGGAGACAAATATCTATATCATGCTCTATATGAGGCTGACCTCATCTAAGAGTAGACCTCCCTAAAAGTGCTTTAGACCATCCTGGTATAAGTGTAAATAGAGCTATAATTTCAATAATCTATATTCAGTACAATAATCAAAGTGATCATACTTAAGACTCCTTATTGCCCCAAGAAAAACATGGGATTTAAATGGACCAATAAAAGTACATGAGCATGACCTAGTGTACAGCTAGTTCATATAACCGTGAGGGCTTCTCCAGAATTAAACCTACGCAAGGTATCAAGAATCTTAAATAGAAACAACATAATAATGCAACTGCTTCTCTTAAGCCCACAAACTACTAAACACAGAAACACCTGAAGATCTTAAAACATGGATACAGAAAATCATATCACGGATTTTTTATGCTATTGTCAGATAAGCTCATTGCTCAAACATGATACATCAAATTACATATGAAAAATGATGCCCAATGTAGTTATAAGTCCCTTTGTATTAAAAGGTGAACCTGAATTCTATTACTATAAAGAAATCAACATTATGTCAGAAGAATTTCTCGAGTTTAAAGTAAATGAAGATATGACCTTGCATATTGAAGGGACCAGTAGAAGTACTGGCAGATCTTCTCGAGGATGGTGGTGCTAATCTCCGGAAACGTCACTTCCCCATGTTCTGTCTCAGCAAAACTCCCTATACTCAAAAAAGAAATTGTAAGAAAAAACAATCACATGCCATCAAATAGATCATATTTTTTGCTCCGATTACTATGAATTTTGAGCAAATCGAAATGGGCGAAAATAAAAGCCCTAATTGAAATTAAAAAGAGATAGACCTGGAGAAGTGAGCATGTTACGTATGGTCTGAGAGACCATTGCAGCCTTCTTATCGATTATGAATTCGAAGCCTTCGGCGCTTATTAGCTTCACGGTATCCTCTTTCTTCATCTTCGCCGATTGGTTAATGCCGACAATTGATCAATTTGCTTGTGAAAACAATAAACCAAAAAGACAATATTTTGACACTCGTGTGCAGATGACAAAGAAGAAAAAAGGGTTGCAAGTTTCGGTCATCAACAGATCCGAATCGGAATTCAGTGGATCGGGTTGGAAATTGGGTATTAGAGGAGTTGGGCCATTTGTACATGGGACTCACTTGTAAAAGAGCATGCCCATTAGAAACACTAGTTTAACGGGGGAATTAAATTTGGGAATTTTTAGTTCCTATGTCATATAGGAAACTATATTACGAAAAATATCCATAATATACAAATTACCCGCCCTACTAACAGATTTTCTACAAAATATAAACAACTCATTAGAAATAGAATTTTGTTAGCTGTACAATTTCTTTATTAGGCGCGCGAATGTTGGGATATTAAGGATTCTTCCAAATTTTATCAAACGCAAATCTCGCTATTAAATTTCGCTCGTTTCTCTCCAAAACTCACAACTCTGTTTTTACGACAATACTCTGTTTCACTGATTTTTCTGATTTCACAAATCAAAAGTGACTAAATTAACTATAATTTTTCTATAACAACCGCAATTATGTCGAAAATCCCAATTATGCTTCAACTGAATGGGAATTGGGATAGCTATGGGAGATATAGAGACTTTCAAGTCGATGGAATTGTAGTCGACGAGGATGCGAGTTATAGCCTATTGAATTCTACAATAGCAGAGCATCTAATGATAGATACATCCGAAAAAATAATAGAAATCAAATACATTGTCAATGAACATTTTCCTCTAATGGAAAGTAGGAACGATATGGGTGTTCGTGTTTACATGGAGACGAAAAAGGAAAATAAAAGCTTAGGAACATATCCGCTATGTATAACAGTACGTGATTTCAATTTGGAATTGAGTAAAGTTGCAAGTTTGTTCTGTTACATCACTATCGAATTTTGGTTGTATATTACTTATCTACAAATTAGCTACAATATTTCTACAATAAAACTACATATCATTTGTAGCTCAATATTGTCACGACCCTAAATTCGGACCCGGTCGTGATGACGCCTCTTGTGAAGACAAGGCCAGCCGACACAACTCCCAAATCATTTTAAAAGTTATAATAACACAATTTAAGTCATTAGCATGATAATAATCCCAAAATAAAAGTGAAATAATACAATTTGTGGAAACCAACACAGCCCGACATTGGGATGTCACCAGTCATGAGCATCTAAACATGTGTCTAAGAGTTTGAAAGGGGTTTATGCAGTCTATTACAGTAATGGAAGTAGAAAGTAAGATAGGGGGAGAAACACTGGGTTGCGAACACCAAGCAGCTACCTAGTGGACTCCGAATGGCCTGATGAGAGCAATCAACTATCACTGGCGGGACCTGAAGCTCCTAAGTCTGCACACAAGGTGCAGGGAGTAAAGTGAGTACTCTAACTCAGTGAGTAATAACAATAAATAAAGACCGAGCGATAAGAAATCACGTAAAAACACAACAACATGCTATAAAGAGGCAGAGTAAAACCAATAAAGTGCAATAAAACAGTAAAACACTTTAGTTCGGTATAAGCTTCTTTAAAATACCTTTTTAATAGTTAAACAAGTAAATGAAAGGCAGCTAAAAAAGATAAACACATAAAATCCACCCCTCGGGCAAAATGTCAACAGAATCAGCCCGTCGGGCAATAACGTGGAATAACACCAGCCCCTCGGGATATCTCATATCAGAATGGGTACCCACGCTCACTGGGGGTGTACAGACTCTGGGAGGGGCCCTTTACGGTCCAAGCACAATATCAAGCCACCTCGTAGCATAATCAAATATGCTATCGGCCTCATATCAAGCCACCTTGTAGCGCACAACTCAGGCCCTCGGCCTCATAATCATAATCAGTACAACGCTGTTGCGGCGTGCAGCCCGATCCCACAATAAACCTCACAACACAGGCCCTCGGCCCTACTCAGTCAAAAATCTCTAAAAGCCACTCGGGCACAGTAAAATATGATGCTCAGCCCAAAAATATCATTTAAAGTGTTAAAACAAAGTAAACATGGCTGAGTTATGAAAACAGTATAATATAGCATGACTGAGTACATATATAAAATCAAAACAGTGAGGAAATAGCAGTAAAAATCCCCTAAGGATCCAAATAGCTGGCACGAGGCCCAAATATGGCATTCAACCAAAAACATGATGATAGCAAACAGTTTTCAATCAAATACGCGGTAAAACAGTCATTTGGGATGGACTAAGTGTGAGCACGCGATTTTTGCCCTACAAGAACTACTCCCAAAAATTCAAAATAAAATAGTTTTGTGTTATTTGTGATTTATTTGTACTTGTCTGTGCATGTTTATTTTTACTTTAATTAAAAAAAAATACAAAAATTATGTGTTGCATGTGCATTAGGAGTTAATTTTACAATTAGGAATTAATTAAACAATATTTGGATTTGCGAGAATGAAAATCACAAAAAATATGTACTTGGCATTTTTTAGCATTTAATCTCCAATTGTGTGATTTTATTTTAGCCGGTATTTAAGGGTGTGATAAATGTTATTAGGAATTAATTAGTATTTTTTTTAATTTGGTTTATAATTTAATTTAGAATTTTAGTTTTATTAATTAGGAAATAAAAGAAAAGAAGGAAAAGGAACAAAATGGAAACCGGACTGGGCCAAATTGGCCACAACCCAGTTCTTACCCAAAAAATCAGCCCAATACCCGCCCCAAATCCAGTCCACCTGCGACCAACCCAGAACGACATCGTTTGGGCATTGTGGATCTGGACCATCAATCTCATACGATCAAACGGTCCAGTCCGTCTCCAGATATATCCAAACGACGTCGTATCTG